TTGAAGGGGGCCGCAAAGGACGCGGCACGCTCCCTATTCGTCGGGTCTACGACCGCAGAAGAAGTAATGAAGATGTTAGCCGCGAGGTTCGGCCGCCCTGGAGCACTCGTCACAGCCGAACTGAACAAACTCCGCGCGCTACCACGACTCTCGGACAACGCAAGAGACGTCTGCCTCTTCGCAAGCAAGGTGCAGAACGTCGTCGCCACGATACGAGCGCTGAACAAGAGTCACTACCTCTACAACGAAGAAATAGTGAGAAACGTCACAGAGAAGATGCCGTCGGTACTACGCTTCAAGTACTACGATTTCGCCAACGACCAACCGGAGGGACAACCGGACCTCATAACACTCTCTCAGTTCCTGCAAAGGACCGCCGCACGATGTGGAAACTTCGCCCCCGCCGAGGAGATACCGTCCGAAGACCGGCGGGAGTCCGCTCCTAGGAAGACGGCGAAGACATACACGACGCAGGAGAAACCCGCTACACCACCGTGCCCGATGTGTCGACGAGAGGGACACGCTCCATCGGACTGCAAGACGATGAAGGAAGCAGACACATCGGCGAGATGGGAGTTAGCGAAGACTCATAGGCTGTGTTTCCGTTGCCTCAAAGTAAGAAGATTTCGCCACGCCTGCAAGAGCAAGAGATGTGGAGTGGATAAGTGCACGCAGACTCATCACCCTCTGCTGCACACCACGCGACAACAGCCGGAGAACGAAGTGACAACACACGTCATCGAGGACAAGTCCGCCGCAGTCGCCGCATCGGCAAGGGAAAACGACAAGATCGCGTTCCTGAAGATCCTGCCGATACGAGTCACCGGTCCCACGGGAACGTGCGACACCTACGCGCTACTGGACGACGGGTCGACTTGCACCATCATCGAGACGGCGGTGGCGGAGCGAATCGGTGCTACGGGTCCCCCCGCACCATTCTACATGGAAGGTGTGGCCGGGGCACGGATCAACGCAGCTCAATCGACGCGTGTTCACTTCAAGATCCACGGGCGGAATTCACAAGAATACACAGTGGGGGCACGGACGACGGACAGACTGCAGTTATCACCGCAGTCGGTACCGCGCAGCGTCATCAAGGGCTGTCCACATCTACAAGACATAGAGAGGGAACTGGTCTATGAAGAGGGCAAACCGACGGTATTGTTGGGGCAAGACAACTGGCACCTACTGCTGGCCCACGAAATCAGAAGAGGATCCGACACGCAGCCGGTCGCATCACTCACCGACCTGGGATGGGTACTGCACGGTACGAGTCGCGGCAGGACAAGACAGCAGGTGCACAGAATCAGCCACATAGTGACGACACATGAAGAGGAACAATCGATGGAAGAAATGATGAAGCAACATTTCGCGCTCGAATCGCTGGGAATCGCACCGAAGAGGTCTTACAATGAAGAAGAACGTCGCGCCCTGCGCATTTTAGAAGAGAAAACTCGTCCGCTACCGGCGGGAGGATACGAGACGGGGTTATTATGGAAGAAGGACGACCCTGTGCCGCCGGATAACTACGAATCGGCAATGCGACGTCTCCAACTGGTCGAAAGGAAATTCGACAAAAACGAAGAACAGTGGCCGCGTGAAGATAGTTCAAGCGACGATAGTCAAGCGAAAACGGGAGAAGAACGCGTACACAAGCTACAGAACGCGACGCAGTTGTCTATAGCATTACCCGATCCGTCACGTTTTTCTAATTGGTTGAAACTTGTTCGCAGTTCAGCACGGGTGTTGCAGTTCATCGACCTCCTGCGACCGACCAGTCAACGCTGCACCGCCATCCGAAAGAGAAACAAGAAGAAAGAGAGCACCGACCCCACTTGGACCCGCACGAAGAAAGTTGATAGAGAGAAGACGAAGATGAAAATCAAGAACAGCAATAGTCCATCTGTGTGTTTCATCCCCATAGACACACACTACCTAGATCGCGCGCGACGGCTATGGATTCGCGCGATACAACAAGAGGCGTTCGGCGACGAAATCGCAGTATTGAAACAAGGGAAACAGCTGCCGTCATCCAGTCGACTCATACAGCTGTCAGTCGTCATAGACAACGACGACATTCTGCGTCTTCGATCGAGAATAGCAGCCGCCGCCGATCTGTCAGCCGAGCAACGAGAGCCCCCCATCGTCGACGGAAACCACGCCTGGGTGCGCCTATACATCGCATGGGTGCATCGGAAACTTCACCACGGCGGCTTCGAGATCACCACGAACGAGGTGCGACAACACTTGTGGGTGTTGCGCCTACGACACGCCGTCCGCAGTGAACTGAAGAGGTGTCAGCTGTGCCGCCTACGAAGAGCAAGACCGGCGCAGCCGTCAACGGGCAACCATCCACAGAGCAGGCTGGCGCATCATCAACGACCGTTCACGTTCACCGGCCTAGACTACTTCGGGCCTATGACCGTGACAGTGGGCCGCACTCACCAGAAGCGATACGGAGTGCTCTTCACCTGCCTAACGACGCGCGCAGTCCACCTAGAAATCGCCGGCAGCCTCAGCACGGACTCCGCCATAATGGCCCTGCGGCGCTTCATAAGCCGCAGAGGGTGTCCCACTGAGCTATGGTCCGACCAAGGCACCAACCTCAAAGGTGCTGACGTCGAACTGAAGAAAGCAGCCGAGGAAGCCATCCAAGAAGAGTCATCAGTCCATTTCATCCGGTGGCGCTACATTCCCCGAGCGCACCCTTCATGGGAGGTGCGTGGGAACGGCTGGTGCGTAGCGTGAAGACCGCACTAGCCGCTACGTTGAACGAGCGGGCCCCCAAGGAAGAGGTCCTCCACACTCTGCTGGTCGAGGTCGAGCACACCCTCAATAGTCGACCGCTAACCCACGTGTCAACATCGGCAGACGACGACAGCGCCCTAACCCCCAATCACTTCATATTGGGCGGTCCATCGCGCGTCCCACTGCCAGGCAGCTTCACCGAGAGCGACGCGGCGGGACACAAGGAGTGGCGTGCCAGCCAGAGGCTAGCTGATTGCTTCTGGAACCGGTGGGTGAAGGAGTACCTACCCGAGTTGCAACACCGGCGGGAGCCCCGAGCTACACACGGAGCCATCAAAATGGACGACCTGGTCCTGATAGCTGATGGGACCTTGCCTCGCAACACGTGGCCGCGAGGCGTGGTGGTGGCGACCTACCCTGGACCAGACGGCGAGATCCGAGCAGTCGACGTGCGGACGAACAAGGGCATCCTACGGCGACCCACTAAGAAGCTGATCATACTGCCCACATCGACATCGAGCGACGCGAACACGAGTTAACTCCAGCTACGAGAGCTGCGGCGGGAGATTATGTTCGCGACATTATTTGTATATATCGTAATTTATAGTTGTTAAGTCCCTAGTTAATCGTTTCTGTATTCTGTTATTTTATATAGATTTACATAGATTTAAGATAGTGTAAGTTAAATAAAGTATTCCTTTGCGTGTTGTCATTATTACCTACGAATAGGAATAGAAATTGTAACAATAAATAGAATTAAGAACTTGTAAATTGCAATAAATAAACGCTATAGAGTACCGATCTGAAGAGACACGCGTCTCGTTCTTTCTCGCCCCGTCCCGCTCGCACAGATCGCTAACGCGAGTTGGAAATGTTATCGTGCGAGCGGGCGGGTATAAAGATAGGCCGCCTCTCGTCGAGCGGCATTCGCTTCCGGGCAGCGACGCACTACACTCGAGAAGAAATAGGACAAGAAGAAAAAATACTCTCTTCAGACGGTACCGGAGGCTTCAGAATAGTAATCGCTGTGTTTCACTCCAGCCTGAACCAACGCCCCTACAGTCCACGCTCACCGAACGGCAGTCCACACCGTTCAATTACAGAACATTAAACCAAAAAATTAATCGATGCTATGTTTATTACGTATCTGTATAAGGTTTGTAAAAGGTTTATTTATGGATAACTTTTTGGTAATTTTTTTATTAATATTTCACTGCGATTTTAAATATGATTTACCCGAAAATAACCAGTCATGTCCCATACTGCTGTATTTATAAAAGGTCAATGTTAGTCTTATTTATATAAAATACATTATATTAAGTATTCGCTTAAATTTAGGACATTTGAGCACCCTGATCTCTAAATATCATTGTCATAAAAAACCATTCCATATTTCGTATATGTCACAGTCGGTTCACACATTTAAATTGGATTACTGCTTTATTTCGTACTAATTATTCCTTTAACATACTGGAGGCACAACCCAGAACATTGAAAATCAAGCCAATGTAGAACAGTTGATTCCTTAATTGGCCCCTAATACGAATTGAATCCGAGATTTATGCAAGCCACCGCTAGGCATCGGTCTCTCCCCTTAAGTGCTGCCTCTTTACTGCGTTATTGTGTTAATAACACGCCCACTCTTTAAATACCATTAAAAATGTACTAAGTAATAGTGATAAATGATACATAATAAATAAATAATAAATCAGCGTCTATTTTATCATAAATATTGGTCCATATTCTATAGTACATACTATAAGTATTCATAATTAAATCTCAAAATTTCCGAATAGTTCAAATAACTCTGGCACATTAGTACCATATTATTAAAAAAAAGCAATGTTAATATTATACACATTATATTATTTTTAAAACTCTATATTAAGTCATCTGATCTACGCGGCAGTAATACGCTAATATGCGAGATTCCTGCTCTACAGTACGTCAATCATGAATTGTTATTGTGATTATCTGTTTGTAGTTAAAAAAGAAATGATGCTATTCGACATTACACAGCGCCATTTGGTCCCAAACTGATACATATATATACATAATTATTTTTTTATATCCATACATTTGTTGAAAACACCCAGACCATTACAAACGACGTACTCATAAATACAAACGTTTATGTGCGGGGATCGAACCTGCGATCTGAATTTGAGGTGGTATGTTAAATTGGTGCATCACCAAACTCAACTATATTATGCATAAATGTAATAGTTTATAATAAATAATTTGTGACACAGGTACAAATTAGAAGTAGCGGGCAAGAGTCTGCCCGTGCTTACTACTTTGGACAAGGGGCGCTACGGTGTGATTGTGTTCGAATCGCTCTCCAAATACGCTAACATGGACAAGTGGAACCGAGAACTGCTCGACAAGTACTGTCGGGAGTATTCCGTCGGCGTCGTGGGGTTCGCGACGCCTGGAGAGGAAACGCTCGTTGGTGCCCAACTAAAAGGGTTTCCTCTCTTCATGCATACCAACCTTAGATTGAAGGTAAACATAGATAGATATTCTTTATTTTTCCCCTCCAAATGGTTACAGTAGTGAATTTGGCAAAAACAAAAAAAAAATAGCACACTGAGAAATTAATATTCATACGATAAATCAAAAATATTGGCATCCTTTTAAGAGTGTACAAAGAATTGTGAGCTAAGGAAGATCAAAATGTTTGTTGTTTTTCGACCCGTTTCTTTTTGGTGAAATATTCAGTATAACGCTCCCTTATCGACTTCATTCTTTTAGTATTTATCAATATCAATATGCTATTATGACTGTAGCCCTCAGAGGGTACTCAGAGGCATTTGTCGACTATTACTATGGCGGAGAACATAGTATCCTATTTGGCTATTTTGTATATTTATATATATGAAATTTTATAATGAAAATAAATACTGTATAATTTTTAATAATAATTATTAATGGTATTTGATGAAATTTTGAGCACTTTGAAAATGCCTTCAATAACGAACCATATGGCGTCGGGTATTAATTATAACAATTTGTGAAATAGTACAAATGGATTTGTAACCGACTTAAAAAAAAGATCAGTTTATATGTTCGCCTGTATATTTTTTTTTAATAATATGAAATACTGTGTTGTGTTTATTTTCTAAAAATGAAATAAATATGTAGGAAGCAACGCTGAACCCTGCGTCGCCGGTGCTGCGGCTGGCGCGCGCCGGGGAGACGGCGTGGGGACCGCTGCCCGGCGACCACTGGACCGTGTTTCGGGCGAACAGCACCACCTACGAGCCGGTAGCCTGGGCGCTACGCCAAAACGAATACGCCTCCACCGGTGAGCTCGATGCATAATGCGCTTTTTCTGACGTTACACAGGATTTCAAAGAAATCACTGCAATCCGTTATTATAGAGAATAAAATGAAAAGAATGTGTAAGTTATAGACTAAATCTGTATTAATCTTATACCACCCCTTCCTTTTCCGTGGGTATCGTAAGAAGCGACCAAGGGAACTTAATAATCGAATGATGGACAGCATCCCTCTAAAAACATCACCAAAGCCTAACTGTGGATGCCAATCCGCCTGCCAAACGTGGTAACTACTGACAAAACGCACTAATAGGGGGAGACATATGTTCACCAGTAGACAGTAAGGGCTGATATCATCATCATAATTCACTATGTAGCGTAATTGACATATTTTTTTAAATGAACACCTGTCCATTATACCTACAGGTTTTGAGAAAAAACACTGCTATTCTAAAAATAATATGTAGTATTATACTAATACAATAAAATTGTAACTAGGCAATGTTTGTACATGGGAAATATTTAAGAAATTTTATGTCTCTATGTTTGTTCCGGCATCACGCAAAAATTACTACACCAAATTGGATGCAATATTCATAGTTGCGTTTCTGTAGATTTAACTTAAAATCTGATCTTTGTTTTATCTTGATATCCCGTCAAGAAGTGCTCTGAAATCATTAATTTATGAAATTTACGCCAACGAAGTAGCATACGAAAAGCAAATATAAAGTAATTCTGAGTTAGTCTAGGATAATTCATAGAATTTATCTGTGTGACACTGTTCAAATTCAAGCAGTTTAAGCATGGCTGAATAATAAACATTCTATTATCTGTACAAACTTAAAGTTTTTAAAATGATTATTATTGACCTCATATAAAATGTGTTCGCAAAGTGAACTATAATATTGTTAACTAAATAATTTCTTCAAATATATGTTTTAAAATATAATATAACACACTTAATTTGATTTTAATTAGAAGTTCATATTATTTTAAAACGGTTTTTTTCCGCAGTGCGTATAGCTTTCTACAGTATCCATCCACATAATTATATTATAGAATTGTGCGGAAATTACCGCGCGGTGGAAATTCGCAGTGCGGGTATACACTTAAATTGTTATATTTAAAGTACCAGGTCAGTTGTAAATAGTGTGTACTTACGTATGTTACTGGTTCTATCACACGGATTTGTCAACGTGAATTGTTATAAAAGGTATCATATAGTACCTACAGAATGAAATCGAAACCATTAGCAACCCTTTTCACAATCTGTTCTGAAAACTAAATCGAAAAGCGGTAATTTTTTTTTTATCTTTTACACTGATTCAGTTTTTACGATCTGGTAGCTATTTTTACGAATATGTATTATTCGATTTAAAATTTCACAGTCAATTATCAATCAATATTTCTATATAGTATAAAACAAAGTCGCTTCCGGTCATTTGTACCCTTAGATCTTTTAAAGTACACAACGGATTTTAATGTGGATTTCAGCAATAGATAGATAAATTTAATAAAATGGTTAAGAATAGTTCAATATTGTTTTGTGTTAATTTGTTGGGATATGACCATAATTGTTCAAGATATCATAAGAAATCAAACAATCTAAGTGCTTTCCTCGAAAATGCTGTCTTATTGTATTGCAAAATCTTTATTATTTATTATTACATTACATTTGACACATTAATTATACAAAATTGGACTTATCTATCTTACAGACAATCTTTGAGCAAACTGAATGTTCGAGGGTATAAACTGTACGAAAAGCTAAAGTTGAATCTTAATAATACCTAATTGTAATTAAACATAATCTTATTCTTTTGAAATATAACAAAATAATGTATAATAGAGTTGTTCTACTTTATTAGGACTACAAAACTTATTGGTATACATAGTTTGATTAAAATCTATATACATACCATCCCAGCCTTAGAATAACAAACTTGATTATGTAATTAGATATGGATAATATCTGTATATTATAGTTACAATATATGTATATTGGCCCAATAAAAGACATATTAAATATCGATTGTCCAATATATATATAATATTGAAATAAAGTACTCGATTGAAACAAATTGAGATATCTGACTGGTATAGGTAGTGAATGCTGGTGTGAATGACCTTTTTTCCGCCATCAATATCCAAGGAATCCAATATATACATATCGGATCGGTACTGATATTACCCATAGTTATAAATAACAAACATCTTTACAAACATTCACATTTATGATAATAAATGTCGCGGTTTTCCCCTTGAGAAGTAGGGTAAAAGTATCGTATACTTCAATCCAGGATATGGGCCATCTGTGCGCCAAAATCTTATTGAAATCCGGCCAACCATATAAAAATTATTGAACGACAAACATACTATAATATTTGCAAACTTTGTAATAATTAAAATTTACAGAATCTTATCGCTAAAAAACTAATAGAATAGATTAAAAAAAATATTCAGCATTTCAAATACGAATACAAAATAGAATAATAATAATAATATCTTCAAATTGAATACGTGGGCTGTTTACGTTTAAAGTATAAATAATAAGTGAATTGTACTCAAATTGGCCCTAGACGTTGAATAGTTTCGGTACCTGGCTAGCCGGTAGTTTGGGCGCCGAGCCAAAATGTATTCGCCTCCGCCGGTGAGCTTGATGTATAATGCGCTTTTCTGACATTACACACGTTATAAATAAAATTTTTTTTTTTACAACACAGAGGGCAAACGAGCATGCGGCTTACCTGATGGTAAGTGACTACCGCCGCCCATGATCACCCACAACACCAGCGCCATTGCAGGTGTGCTGCCAGCCTTTTGATGCAATCCTCTGAAGTACAATGGTTTAGCTCTGATACTATAGGTCGTACCAATATCAACGTTATAGTTATTATAATTTTGTGTTACTATATGTATGGTTTGAGTTATTGCCTAGTATTTCAGTCATGATTTCGGTTTCGATTCTAGTGCAATAGTAACTACTAGTAAGTACTAATATTTGTAATCATCGGTAGGTTTGTATGGATCTGAGCATTTTACGTTTAATTTCGTCATTTAATCAATAGAATACTTAGTAACTTGAGTGGTAATGGGTAAAGCATCGGGGTGACCATATGCTTATTTATTATTGTTGTAGAAGAATATAATTTCTTAATATTGTACATTTATGCTTTTTAAATTACTTTAAAAACTAAATTATTTAGTTTATCTTTAATTGTACGGTTATTACCTTTATACATTCTACAGTTTTCTTTCAGCTCCTCAAGGGTTGATTGTAAGAGATCCCTATGGGATAAGTCCGCCATTGTATAATTAATCATTTATCAGTGTTCAATCTGAATTATGTACAATAAAGATTTTACAATACAATACTAAGTAATATTGTCTTTTAATTTCGAAATTGCACACAAAATATCCATAATACTCGTACTTATATAATAAGAGAGACTTATTTCCATTTTCCTTATAGGTACATTGTATATTTAATGAAGTAAAGAAAGTTTTAGTATCCCGGCACTGAATCGTGCCTTGCTCACTTAATAGTTAAAACTTTCGGGAATGGTGAGAGAAAATTTGACCCATAGACAAGGATTAACACTTATCTTGATTGACACATGGAAATAGGTATATGTATAATCTCCAAAAATCTTTACTCGTTTTAAAAAAGGACCGAATTGCGATTCATCATCGCCATCATCATCTCAGCCATTATCTGTCCACTGCTGAACATAGGCCTTCCCCATAAATCATAAAGAATGGTCCTGATGCAAACCTGTATCCACAGATTCTCTGCAATATATTTGAGGTTACACCAGAGGGAGACTTTGTACATAAGTCGATTGCTTGGATACCTCTGTCCCATTCGTGTTTCAACCGTAAACCAATAGTGTTTGCATGACTGTATTTCGGTTTGAAGGGTGGAATATGGCGTGAATTTACTGGGTACGGAGGAATAACACATGGGTCCTCAGGAATGGCAACGCATGGAGGGTATTATGGGCGAAACAGTATACTCTGTTATGTCCATGGTACTGCTCATGTCTATAGGCGACGGTTACAACTTTACATCTTTACATCAGGTGGGCCGTCAGCTTGTTTGCCATTCTAAGTTGTATAAAAAAAAGGTCGTCACTCCATATAATGGGTAGTCGCCCTACGCTGCGTTTGCCCGTACGGGGTCGCCACTCAACCTTTCTTCCCCATCAGTTATCGATTCTTCAAGCTATGTAAGCAGCCCATTACCCCTTCAGTTTGCTTATCCTTAAATTGCATTTGTATTATATTAATTACTAGCTGCGTCCTACAGCTCCGCCCGTGTAAATCAATACAAAGTATCCTATGCATTAAGTTGTGATATAACTTACTCGTGTACCAAATATCATTTAAATCCTTTCAGTATTTTTGCGTGAATGATTAACAAACATCCATCCATCCATCATTATTGTTGGGAAGAAGGGGATTCTTAGTAAAAAAGTCAAACAGCTATTGCTAGCAATAGCTGTTCGATTTTCCTCTACTAATCCTCTCAGGTCGATCTCTACGTTGTTCCTCCTGGAAACCTTCGTGGGTTTAGTCTTGAGTTCGTCACGATGAGTCAGGTCTATTAGATCTGTTTTCATCCTCAACTATATATATAAATGTTTTTTATTATTTCTCAGATTTAAACATATTTTGATAATTAGTTTCCCTATCGGTACTCTCGTGTTAGTTTTGTCTGATTTGCTCACGATAGATTGTTTTTGTAAAACAAGAACTGAAATTGATTCCAACGGTGTTAACCTAGCTGCATAAGCTTAGATTATGTCCAAGTTACTTTAGTACTTTATAATGTAATTAAACCGTAATAAAAGTATTTAATTTTAAAACTTAATATACACCTTAATATTAAGGCAACATTGCGAATTAACAGCTGAACTCAAGTTATTGGAGACAATTTATTATTTTGTTATTCTAAAATCTTTATTATCATATTAAATTCAATTCCATCAAATGAGAAAACAGTCTTATTCATGATTGCTGTATGTAAAGGTAATTTCAATCAGGTATTTTTCTTATTAACTTTTATATAAGTATTTAATAAAAGACATCAATTGCCTCCTACACATTTAATTTTAAACACATAAATAGATACAAAATACAAATGTCTATCAACAACATCAGGCATGTTTTAATTCTTTTTATCGTCATTTGTTTTTTAAGCGAGCGTATGTACCAACATATAGCCTAGTATTTGGGTTTCCATTAAATAAGGGACCCTTTTAGTCGAGTGTGCCCACTCGTCGCGCACCGAAATTAGTGGACATCAGCTGAAATTCCTCCCGTTTTACGTTCAAGTGGTAACAAGCTCGTGGTGAAAGCGTGTATTATGTAAAATGGCCGTACAGGAGCCGAGATACAGGAAAATGTGTAACGCAATAACATAATACTGCCAAAGTAAATAATACTTCGTATGTTTTACATTTTTTTTTCTGTTTTTATCAAATACTGGTAATTTATTATTTTAATGTTTGTTTATCAGCACAAAATAAATAGCATATCACAGCGTAAAAAGTATTGCCTTTTTTCAGTTAGTAATAATAAATGTGAGTTACTTCATTATAGATACTCGAACGTAACCAGTTTTCTCAATTATTTTAATTAATTTTCTTTTCTCAATACCTACTAGTTCATGACCTTTTCTATACAACTTATACTTTGCATTTTCCCTCCTATCTCCACATTTCAAATGCCTCGAGCATATCTCTTTGCATCATTAATAAATAAGACATACGAAATATACTCGTAAGAAATTCACAAAAACCTTTTTTATTCTATTTGTTCATTTTGCACTGTTATTTCGATAAAAAGATGCCAAGATTGTTTTTTTATACAACTTAGAATGGCAAATAAGCTGATGGCACACCTGATGTAAAGTATTAACCGTCGCCTATAGACATGAGCAGTACCATGGACATAACAGAGTATACTGTTTTGCCCATGATACCCCTTATGCGTTGCCATTCCTGAGGACTCAGGTGTTATTCCTATGTACTCTGTAAATTTGCTGCTATAAATTGTATACTAAATGTGTTAACTATAACAGATTTTAAAACATGTTCTATTAATCACAAACCTTAAGAAAAACAAGTAAAATATTCTTATCTAAAATAAATGCACGTAGTCTTCAGTAGATTTAGTAACTAAAAGTCATTCTCAACTGCGTTGTTACACAAAGTTATACAGACGGTACGGACTGCAGTTGGATCACAAAGGATTCTTCCTCAGAAGTGATATCAAACTTTGCATTTCAATTAATTAAGCTCTATTTATTTAATTAAAACAAAAATAAATAATCAAATTATTTTACATTTGTTGTTATATATATTTTATATTATACTAATAAATAATAACATCACTTACGAGTGCCCCTACTGGGGCAGTCAGAGGCTTTTGTCGACTGTTAACATAACACCCAGCATAGCTACATTTCGCAGAACATATTAAAATCCAACGTGGCAAAAGGCAAACGGTAGCTGTCACTCCAATTAATTTGGTTTGTTTACGGTGTTTTCCGTCACCGAAGAATAATTCAGAAGTTTAAAGGAACACAATATCGTTCAATATATATACCATATCACCCTTCAAACCGAAACACAGCCATGCAAACACAACTGCTTCACGGTTGAAACACGAATGGGACAGAGGTACCCAAGCAATCGAATTTTGTACAAAGTCTCCCTCTGGATCTACACAGTATTACTATATTACATTGAGATACTATACTATATTATTTTAGACTGTCCATGGAAAATAATTTTTATCCTATTTTTATTTTACTTTCGTCCTAAGGTTTCAAAATGTTCATTATTTATTTATACTTATTGAACACACAGAAGAGCGCGTGCCACTAGCAACCGTGATCCAAGACCACGGTCGGCTGGATGGTGTACAGCGGGTACTGTTCGGCTCCGGGCTTCAATTCTGGTTGCACCGGCTGCTGTTCCTCGACGCCTTGAGCTACCTCAGCCACGGCCAGCTCAGCCTCAGTCTCGACAGGTGGATCCTCGTGGATATTGATGATATCTTTGTAGGCGAAAGAGGTATGTATTTTAGTACTTTGTTGCAGTTATGTTACTGGTAAATCAAAAATGATTTTATCTAGTTAAACTGAAAAATCACTTTTTTATACAACTGGAAGTTGAAAACAAAATAACAGCTCAGCTAATGAAAAGCGAGCAGCAGCGCCTAATGGCCTAAATAACAGCACGTTAAACGCATTCTGCGTTTAATGGCACTCGTCAATGGCACCCTTCTTCCGTTTCCACTCCTGAGGACTTAAGTATTGCGATTACACTAGTTACCATGCTTTAAATCAGAATTAATGATAAGGCGGTTGTATCTATTCAGGCGAGTCACTCAGAGCTCTGTCAGTATCTCGATTCCCATAATAGCACTCGCAAAGATATCGCAGCGACTCAGCCGTTGAAGCCGTTCGTATTCTCATCAATTTTCAATTCCAACCATATTTAAACGGTTTGTTTTTACGAGAATCAAGCCTGTATCACTACGTACCAGGTGGCCGACAAAATACAAAGCGAAATTAATTCTACGTGACTGTGATATTGAATTTATTTATTCACTAAATGCACATGATAATTTTACTACAAAAGTATAATTTGAATTATATGTGCCTCCACTGACGACTAAGCTACGTGCTCTACGTGTGAGTCTGCAGTGCCTAAGTAATAGTTATATACATTTTATGTATATTTATTTTTCTCGTACTTATCGTTAGTTTTACACATCTTACTTAACTGACTAGAAGTGTAGAAAAGCCAGGTCCTTAGCGTTTGTTGTTTCTTATATTACATCCGACATTATCAAAATGATAAAACTTTAAAATTTTGTTTCAAATTGTCTTCATCAAATAACTTAAAGTTGGTAATACAATCTAGACGCAATTTTAATTCTTATGACTTTTGGTCAGATTTTGTAATAATATCATATCTAAAATAACATTATAATAACATCATAATGTTTTGCGTTATTGTTATTCACAAAGTTTGACAGGCGACGCGGGACTTGGGGGTTTGTGAGGAGGGATTCTTAAGTTTGTTTCATACCAAATTTTATTGGTTAATAACGTTTAAAGAATGGACCATAATGAGATGCCACTCGCAGCGTTACAGGAATAAGGGGAGGTAACACTGTTGCAATGAAACGGCCCTTGCCTCTACCCACTTAATTCTTTTCCACTGTACCGCTTGGAACATTCATCACGCCCCCTCGGATGTCTATAATTCTTACGCATTCTTATGTTGTTTAACCACATAATAAATAGTTTTTTTTTTCTGTTTACGTTTACTATTTGTCCAGAGAACACAATTTACTATATATATAGTACAGTAGTAAATTTATGTGTTGTTTATGGCAAGTTGAATGATTAATGATAGTTTACAATAATTACTATTTAATTATTAATAAGTACTTACTTCACAACAAGAATCAATATCAGAAGTGTCTAATTCTTGTATAACGTATTATTAAATCGATTTTTACGCGGTTGTTGTGGTAGTGGCATTAACATAATTAAACCTATTTTAATCTATTAGTGTGTTCTCACTTCAATTTCATAATTTGATAGAACCACTTAAATATTACCTAATATATATATATATATATATATATATATATATATATATATATATATATATATATATATATATATATATATATATATATATATATATATATATATATATATATATATATATATATATATAACCATCCTAAACTGTCATCTATTTTCCAATCTGTTAAGAGACTACCATCCACTATGTCACTACTCGAAAATCCTTTTTCGCTATCGATTGTCCGTTCTTGAAACTGTGTGGCCAACCTTAGTTGGCCACACATTCTCACACACACATCCTCATTTCAGATTCTTTCGTGCAGTGAAACTTCGAGTCTAATGCTCTAAGCAGCTACGTTGAGTGACTAGTTTATACAGCTAATAGGTATCGTGAGCAGTGTATTAAAAATATCTCTAAAAAATGAGATGAATATTATATTGAATAGCTCAAATAGGTTACGCAAAGTATAAAATTAACTAAAAATTGTATAAATTCACCATCAAACTTGTATTAATCAGGTACACGTCTTCACGAAGAGGATGTAGCAGCATTGTTGGCATCGCAAGCAGCGCTGCAGAGGCTGGTGCCAGGATTTCGCTTCAACTTGGGATTCAGTGCTAAATATTTCCACCATGGTACCGCGCTTGAAAACCGTGGAGACGACGCGTTGCTGAAGAACAGAGAACATTTTACATGGTATGTTGAATTTTAAGAGATTACAACAACAATAAAAGAGTAATAGTACAAGCTCTGGTTGGCTTGGTTTAGAACTAGATGGCGCTGTGTGACATGTTCTGTGGTGCTTATTTTTTATTATTTAAATCAATATATTTTGAATCTGAAAATTTTATATCTACTCATACAGGTAACATAAAGATGTAAATATAAGAACAGCTGGTTGTAATAGGATTTACAGGAATATGTTTTTATATTAGGGATAAAACAAAAACTTTATATATATTTGTAGCAGACGTATCAAAAAGGATTGAATGAACGCAACTAATTTATTCCAAAAATAACCTGCCCGAAAACAAAACAACAGTTAATTATAACAATTATCTATATGATCTACAAACTACAGAAAGCTATCATCTGTCACCATTTATTTTTAGCTTTAAATATCAAAATATTCTGTAAAATATTTTGTATTTGTAAATTATGTCATTTATGTATTTAATTATACTATTAAATTATAACAAATTAACTATGATAACTCATAACAAGTTATTAATAATTTTATTTGTAATCTGAAATAGTAGGTTTTGTTTATAATATTATGACTAAGTAATTATTTTAACATTTGCGTTTCAAGTTCAAAGATTCCAAATGTCTTCATAATGATTGCAGTCTGACAAGTCTTTCTAAATAATTACATAACTATTCTAATATTTAATAATAAATATTGCTAAATAATTCTATGTTTAAATTCACGAATATATCTTTTACTTAATTCAATTTTATGTGTAATTACCAACATTTTGTAAATAAATCAATATTCATTCCATTTATTTTTGGTGTGACATGAAACACTAATAAATAAATAGGTAAGAAATCACACCTGCGAGCTAACTAAAAAAAATGAGGTTTAGATATATTTCAATCGTAAATAACTGAAATTTACCCAAATCACGAGTCCGCCTGAATGGAAAATGTAGGAACTATTTATCCACAAAAAACGTACTACGAATGCTTTCATAATAACGACTCAACTCTGACCTTTGTCCTTGTCCATTTTTTATTAACTTCACCTACCGAACGAAATAATGCAAAAAACATGACGACACGTCCCAACGCGCCACTGAACTTTGGTTATTTATTTTTGAACTTGTCCAACGTTAACAACCCCTCTTGTTAGTTTGCTAAACTATGTCCTACTGTTACACGAATGACCTTTTAGTACTGGGATTTTGGCACATGCATTAGTTTGTATCAAGTTATCAGTATGTTGTTTGACGAAAACAAAGTATTAAGTACCTACCTATATTTTAGGATACCACAAACTAAGTACAGGTAAGTTAGATCAGAAACAGGATTTTGTAGACACAATTGCTTTGTATTATAACGTTACAAGGGTCTCTGAACATTATCTATTACAAAGCTTTGTTGGGATAATTTCCCTTTAAGTACCTATTTATAGGTTACCTACACTTATTATAATAATATTATATTTTAATATTTGTCAGCACTAAATTGCTTTTTACATTTCTCCCGCAGGCCTTCAATTAAAAATGTATTAAAGATTATAATTATAACATTTCATTTCAATAATAAAAACAGTTGTGTTGATTAAATTTTCGTGAGCGCATTGGAAAACTGTAAATTTTATTTAAAATATATTACTGAAGCATAAATAAATAATGCCCACAACTGAAACTTTATTTGGGATAGTCACCATATTGACAATACTAGACTAATATAATGTCTATATTCGACACAACATTCTTGCCATTATGGTGAACGCAGCGCTTAACATGATTATATTGCGCTGATATATTATATATCTCTGTTTAAATATAAAATATTAAAGCTAAAAGCGGAATCCATCTACCGCCCACGTTGTAAACAATTTAATGCCACTAGTGCTGTCTCATTCTGTCTCATGCATACAGTAGCGCACCTTATCTATGTCCCCACAAGTAAAAATAGATCATCATATTTAATGTCATATTTAAATAAAAGTAAATCGCTAAATTTAACCATTTGGAGCAAATCAGTTTTTTTTTTTAAGAATATTCATTGAAGTCCGAGGAAGAGTTTTAAAATTGGTAAATCCGACCACAATAAACCCCCTTTTCTTTTTCTATACAAATTATTTGAACTTCGTGGATGCTAGTACGGGGCAAAACAATGTTTACCGGGTCAGCTGATTTAATTTTAAAGCACTGCTATAATGCACAAAGTATTAATTTTTTTTATTTTTAAATCAAAATCTGATATCGTCTTTTATGTTTTAAATAATAATATTTATCTTCTACCAGGTTTTGCCACATGTGGAATCACCAACAACCGCATCTATACAACAATGTATCCCAATTGGAAGCAGAGATGATGTTAAACAAACAATTCGCAATCGAGCACGGCATCCCTACTAACTCTTGTTACTCGGTTTCACCTCATCATTCTGGAGTTTATCCAGTACATGAACCACTGTATGAAGCCTGGAGAAAAGTATGGGATGTTAAGGTGACAAGCACAGAAGAATATCCCCACTTAAGGCCCGCAAGGTTAGTCACAAATATTTTACTATTCTAAATTTCTTTAACAAATGAACAATAGCTGAATAATCTAAATATACACATACTTGACAAAAGCTGTCTTTTTAAAATGACATACACCCAAAATTGTATAAATTTTGTAATTGATGTTGACTTATCATTAATCAATTAATGCACTACCAATATTATACTCTCAGACTTTCGTACCTTCACAAAAGGTTAACATTTGAAAACTCAATATAATTATTTTTTGGAACGAAACTACTGTCCATCTAGACGTTATAATTCTAATCTAAGCTTCATCATAGCTCTTGCAAGAAATATAAATATAAAAAAATATAAAGTCATCGTAAAAGTATACCCTGATGATTTATTCCAAAAAATTATTGATATATTTCTTTGGTATTATTATGTATGTATAGTAAATAGCATATTATTATTTGCTTGACATATCATACAAATATAAAATATAGCCATATACAGCGTAAAAAGAAAGGCACATAACAAATCGAAATTCAGCTATAATGTCCATGAAAGAGTAATAAGTTTAAGACTTTTCTTATCTTTAATAAAGAATAATAAAAAAAAAATACTATAACTAAAACATGCGAGGAAGTTAGTTTGCCCAAATTATGCTCATTGTGACCACTAAAAAGTGCCAATTAAGTACTAAAACAGAAACTCAATATCGACCAATAATACACATAACAGTATCATAGTACTAATGATCGCAATAAGTGTCCTTGTTGGCAACACTGTTTGCGGCAGCAGCGTTGCGGCCAAAACTCCTATTGACCGCGAATGTTGCGTTGTGGCGCTACGTCCGACCGCGCCTCTCGATACCGAGCCGATAATGAAATTCCAATAATTGTACGTACAGTATGCACATGCAGATATCGCTTTAAATGGAATTCAGCTATTTGTTCCAATGTTTAGTCGCTTACACTACAACGAACTATTCTCATTTACTGTGTTCCGAACTTGTATTGTGAGAATTTGTTTGTTCAGTTTTTGAACGAAAACGTATGTATATCGATTAGTAAGTAAATAATCGCGTTTCCTGTAGATAATGGTTTGTTTAGATATACGCATAGATGTTTAGTTATTTTTTTTTGTTAAATATTTAAAAGTCACATACGTCAATTACATAGATCTTTATATTACTGGAAGTAGAAGCTCTGAATTGAATGCATAAATAGCAAATTATGAAACTGAACATACTAAGAGAGAATTTAAAATTAAAACCAACAAGGAGCGAGGCAGGAAAATAATTGGATGTTTTGATGATGATTTATCTTATTATATAAAACTAGCTATTTCCCGCGACTTTGTCCGTATGAATAAATATGTAAAGTATCCTATATATTAAGTTAGATATAACCTACCCACATACCATATTTCATTCAAATCCATTTAGCGTAACAAACATCCAAATATCTTTACGAACTTTCACCTTTATAATATGTGAAGTATTACGTTTATCCCCGCGGCAACTTAAATCTTAATATCTGTGTTTTACATCGTCTCAAATGTGACTCATATTTCAAGGTTAACAGAGTATGAATATCGTCATGTATACCTCTTCCGCTCGTGATTATCAGTATGCATTCAAGACCTATGTTTTAATTTTATGTCGTCTGAACATATATAGGCATGATATGGGCGAAACAGTATACTCTGTTATGTCCATGGTACTGCTCATGTCTATCGATCCATCTGGGCCGATGCATTCTAAGTTGTAAAAAAAAAAAAAAAAAAAAATATAAATGTTTTAATTTTATGTCGTCTGAACATATATAGGTATGATACGGAAATCCAACTCGATACTCGATGCATAGTAAAAATATAAAAGACTGAGAACTAATCTTTACCCGCGACTTCGTTAGGGTGACTGGAGTGCATTAATTGATAGAGATAAAAGATAACCCACGCCCTTCTCTATCCCAAAATTCTGAAAATAAAAAATTCTAAACTTAAAATCTGTCTTCAGTTATTACGAAAGCAGTTATTTCATTTGATAACTATGACTCATATGCATTTTTTTATACAACTTAGAATGGCAAATAAGCCGACGGCCCACCTGATGGAAAGTGGTAACCGTCGCCTATAGACATGAGCAATACCATGGACATAACAGAGTATACTGTTTCGCCCATGATACTCTCCATGCGTTGCAATTCCTGAGGACTCGGGTGTTATTCCTCTGTACCCTGTAAATTCACGCTGTAATAAGTATAGACAAACACTTCATAGTTTTTTTTATGGATGATAATGAAATGATAACACCGCCTGCGCTAACGAAATATGATGATGAAACCACCACTGAGGGATGATTGGTGAAAATGAAAAAATAACCACGTGAGGGGTACCTGACATGTATATTGCTAACAAGTGAACTGGTAGCCCGCATTACTAACAGTTATTTCCTTTACACCCCATAGTTATATCATAAGTTATATATAAATAAATAAAGGTATCCGTAATTCTAATACTAAAATTGTTCCCATCAGATTGCGTCGCGGGTTCCGTCATAGAGGTGTAATGGTACTGCCACGTCAGACATGCGGCCTGTTCACACACACCTTACTGCTGGAGCGGTACCCCGGCGGCAGGCAACGGCTCGACCGTTCCATACAAGGCGGCGAACTATTTCAGACGGTCATCAATAATCCAGTGAGTAACCTTTGAGTTTTAATAGATACGTAAATATGTTGGGATTTGTATACAAATTGAACGTAATTCACGTACGATATTACGTAAATGTAATATTAATTTACATATCTATATATGGCAGTATATAATATATATACGTTACGCATATTTTTAGACTTTAATTTTGACCTTTTGTAAAAGTATCCTCCATATCGATTCATAATCAGTAATTTATAATAAGCTAAGAAGTAGATTAATATATAGGGTACCTTCTTTTTCCATGCTAGACTTACTGTTGACTATTTTTAGATAAATATATATATATATAAGGATAGCAATCAATGGAAACAGTCACGTACAACAGTGCATTAACAATACTATCCACTCTACCTCTCTGTCGCCAAACTGTTATGCTTACATGACTGCGTTTCGGTTTGAAGGGTGAAATATGAAATGACGGGTTCTGGAGGTTCAACGCTTTTGTCACATGACGTCACTATGTATTTCGTGTAGCCCATTGTTCTGTTCGTACATCTATATGTGTGGGCCGGCAACTTGCTTTTTCCAAATTGTATAAAAATACTAGCAAATAGTATTCACGGAGGCGGCGTATTATGATCTGAGCGCGAGTTTTTACACTAATGAAAATTAAAAAATATATATTTTATCTGTAGTGAAGTATACTGTGACCTAAATGTTCAATTCGTTGAAATTTTCCATTACCGTGACATGGTACAAAAATGTTTACTTATAATTATAATGCGTAGGTTTAAAAATGTAAATATAAACAATTTCTATTATAATTTTGTTCAATCAATTTTGTTTATGAATTACAGTCTTAGATGTAGATCTATAAATACTTTGAGTCGTTAACACTCACCAGTTACATAATTATATTAGTTGTTTTTCTTATTCCGTTAATAGTATTCGTAACTACTTAATAATCGCCATATGAATAATTTACATTGTAATTTATGAGCCAGCTATTCGGCGGTCGATTACACTCAATTTCACCCACACTTCACACGGTTCGATGGCTACATGCATAAACCATGAATTTATTAAAGAAATTCCAATATTAGTTTTTTTTTATACAACTTAGAATGGCAAACAAGCTGACGGCCCACCTGATGGAAAGTAGTAACCGTCGCCTATAGACATGAGCAGTACCATGGACATAACAGAGTATACTGTTTCACCCATGGTACCCCCATGCGTTGCCATTCCTGAGGACTCAGGTGTTATTCCTCTGTACCCTGTAAATTCACGCCATATCCCTTCAAACCGAAACACAGCCATGCAAACACAACTGCTTCACGGTAGAAACACGAATGGGACAGAGGTACCCAAGCAATCGACTCTTGTACAGTCCCCCTCTTTCTTGTTATTTTATAACTAGGGATCAGTACACCTCTTAAATCTAATATCAATATCAATCCAATCTAATGTAAATGATAATTTTTCACTGTACTCATGAAATAACAATTAGGAATTAAATTAAAACTGGGATCGATTTGCAATAGTTTGCAATGGCAAGTTGCACTCATATGCATCTATCAGAACAATATGGAACCATTACGTCGCTAGTATTGCAATACGAGAGTGTGAAAAGTTTTCAATTCCAATATCAATCTATTGGAATTTATTTCAAGGGTAATCACATAGGTCCAGCTTCATACGGGATAAAATTTTCAAAAATAATATATGACCTATATTACTCGCTAGTAATTTAACTTTCTATAAGTGACAGAATTTTTAAAATCAGTTGAATAATTTTAGTTTATCAATTGCAAACAAATAAAAAAATAATTAGTAGTATATATATATATATATTAGGAGTACAAATAAGTTTCCGCCGTTTTATTGTGGATGGCGCGGCACGGAGTTTCGGTTAGCTTTCGCAGATGATAACCGGCTTAAAAAATAGTTTCGACATTCAAGACCAACATAACCTATATATATATATATATATATATATATATATATATATATATATATATATATATATATATATATATATATATATATATAGGGTGCTTTGAGTGAGAGAACGTGTCGATATATCAAAAGTTTAAAAACGGTGATTTCGACGTATATGGAAGGCCAAAAATTTACGAGGATGCAGAATTGGAGGAATTATAACATTAGAATATATCAGCAAGCAGTCTCACATCGTTTATATATATATATATATAAAGCCGAGAGATATATATATATACATTATGACAATCCAAAAAGAAAAAATCATGGGGATTATGGCCACGGCCATATATATATGATATATATATATATCACGGAAAAAAACTTATATATATATATATATATATATATATAGCCCTCTATCGAACACAATTGATGAGATTGAGCCGAGCTCTGAAAGAAAAACGCCCTCAATACTATTCTAGACACGAAAAAATTATGCATGACAATGCTCGTCCACATGTTGCGGCTCCCGTAAAAAATACTTGGAAACACTTGATTGGGAAGTGTTACCCCACCCGCCGTATTCACCAGACATTGCACCGTCCGATTATCACCTGTTTCGGTCCATGGCACATGCTTGACGACGCAGCGGTTTACATCTTATGAGGATACCAAAAATTGGGTTGATTCGTGGATAGCCTCAAAAGACAAGGAGTTCTTCAGACGTGGAATTCGAATGCTGCCTGAGAGATGGGAAAAAGTGGTTGCAAGTGATGGGCAATATTTTATATAAATCTATATTACCGTTCTTCTATAATAAATATTTAATTTGTGTTAAAAAACGGCGGAAACTTATTTGTACTCCTAATATATATATATATAAACACAATACCTACCTTCAGCGTTAAGTCAGAAAATCGAAACATTATTCATACACGCGTCATAACCACAACCGAAACCGTAACCGCAAGGACTTCATTTTAACATGTATTTTGTACGAGCAGAGAAAATTGCAGTGATGTATCAATATTCACCTATTGCTTCATCCACTTTTATAACCCGTCTCCTGCATACACGAGAGTTCCGAAGTTTTTCTTGATTCATATCAGATATGTTCGTTCAGCACTTCGTATTTGACTTTTATAATATATATTATATAGATGTAATTAATATAAATTATATTGAGGAAAATATAAATCATGAACACCTTTTAAGTGAGTTTTCTATAGGGAAATCTTAACTTCTTTTTTTAAATATGCATTGAAAGCGACAATAATGTTCAGCCTTATATTACTTTCTACAGCGCATCCAGCTGTCAAATTAGTGCCTACAAGAGAGTTTAATATTGCGTTAATTACAAATTCAGTTTTAATAGTAAGAATGCTAAATAATTTCGATTTTATTTAGTAAATGATGATTATAGTCTGTTTCAGTAGAGCTCAATGAAAACCAATTTGGTAAAAATTATCACAGGATAATTTTTTCACACTCGCTAAAGTAACAAATCATAAGATACAGTGAATTAATCGATTTTTTATTTGTACTGCTATTGGAAATCGGTAGACTGTCTTAAAATCGGATCATTTATTCGCCTGTTTATATTTTCATTAAACAATATTGAAACAAACTATCCAAGGAAAGAAACCATAATATTAAAAAGACTCTCCTTCACCAGATCAACGTGTTCATGACCCATATGTCGAATTATGGCAACGATCGACTGGCGCTATACACTTTCGAGTCGGTGGTCAAGTTCCTGCGGTGTTGGACGAATGTTCGACTAGCCTCTGCCCCACCTCTAGCGCTCGCCGACAAGTACTTCCAGTTGAGGCCCGACGAACTTAATCCATTGTGGGGGGTAAGTGACTACGTGGCTTTGAAATTCGCTTCGACATTGGTGCTTACGTCATGAATTTCCGACGTTGGTGCGGTGACCTCCGTGTTTGCTTCTCGTAAATTAGAGTATCGATTTTCGATCGAGTTCAAGAAATTTTATAATATACTAGCGGCCCAGTACGTGCTTCGCTACGTATAAAGTGAAATAATAATAAAAAAAATTAAATGACCGTATGAATGACATAACATGCTTGTACTGTCAACACTGAAAAAAGTTTCAATTTGACAGCACAATCCCCATCTTAAAAAAGGTTTGAATTTGTCACAAAAATCTCAATTAACAAAATGATCCGCCATTTATTGAGTTCATTTGTTTAAAAAAAATGTGACAAATGAAGAACTGCTCGACCGATTTTGTGCAAACTTCACATAAACCATCTACTAAATAGTCCGAACAAAGCCTAAACATTTGGTTTGGATAGGTGAGCCCGTTCTTGAGTTATAAAATGACAACGAAAAGTGGCATTAATTTTTATATATATAGATTACTAGAATTATGAAAAGTGAAGTCGGCTTTTTTTTTGTAATCTTTCTTTTTTTTTTATTCGCAATCTTTAGTTATTTAAACTTGTTATTCTTCATAGAACAAGATATTTTGTATATGCTTTTACTCATGGCTTCGTCCGTGTGATCGGGATATGTTCATTGACCATGATAGATAACCTGTGTTCTACTTTATCCCAAATAGCATCAAGATAAAACACATCAGTTTTTAAGTTAGACTTTCAGAAACACAATTACGATAACCGAATGCAATTTGGTTCGGTAGTTTTTACGTGATGCCCGAACAAACGTACAGACAGACAGAGGATATTTATAAAAAAATATTGCTTTGACTTCTATTGGCATTATTAAGATCCTTCATATTATTTTTTTCTTAAATACGAGTACTATTCTATGTACAGATATCATTTAGTTACAATTGTATCATATTTAGTAAGATTAGAGACCTATAAAGGCCTAATGGCGGACTCTTAACTCTGTCATAATTGGGCAAGTGAAAAGGTAAACCTCAAAAACAAAAATACCTCCATATTGTTTTGTCACGATTGTATTCTTTTTGTCCAACAAAACCTTAATTTATGTTTTATACATATATATTTGTTCGTTAAAACATTAAAGACCACAAGAGAAACATAACAGATGAAAAAGGAAACTCTCTTAATAATTACCGTTGGATAAATTATGCATCTTGAAAATACAATGGAAAGAATCCCTGAATATTACAACGCACTCGCTGAATACATTTGCTCGCAGGAAATTATTATCTAGTTAATTATTTACGCGTTCTTGCTATAATTAAGTCGTCATAAAAAGGAAATACTGGATGCGGAATCCGCCTAGAAAAGATAAACTATTTTATGTTTCAAGTTATTACATACGGTTCTTTATGGCCTATTATGCGGTAATAAAATCGTAAGGGCCGAAGTCTATATAGAAAAATTGAGGTTTTTTCGCGATAAGATAGGGGAAAAGTACATTTTCAGAATTTATTTGTCTGTCTATTTGTTATAATCCTATACCATATCAGCCGTTAACTATCCACTGCTGAACATAGACCTTCCTCTATTTGGGGGGTTTGCCAGTAGTTGCTATGCTTTGCGGGCGGATTGGCAACCGCAGTTATGCATTAGAGATGTTTTAAGAGGGACACTGCTGCCTATTCCTTTAATTAAATTATTAAATCCAATTATTAAAACCATTCGTTTTTAACAAACTTTTAAAATGGAGTTGTTAGACGCCCACTTACAATTGATAGATATATGGGTAATTTATCATAAAAATACAAAATTAATTAAAATAAAATTTACACAAAAGAGAAGTCAAGCTAGCTTAGTTGTTTTGTGTAAATTTGTGTATATTATAGAGGTCTTTGTTAATTGAATGGTTACATTTATGAAAAAAATATGTAAATAGAGTATCAAATTATATCAAGATATAATAAAAAGTAATTTGTTATAGTCTGTCTACGATTGAATTATAAGATTTATTGACAAATATACACGTAAGTAAATCCGTTTATTATTTATTCAATAAAATATATTGTGTACTTACGAAACATTTACCAATTAAATTATTATTATTATTAAATTTCAATTACCACGCAAACGAAATCGCAGGCACAACTAGTGGAAAATATTGCGGTCCAATTTATCGTGATAATAAATAAAAGACTTGTGAGTTATTAAACGAAATATTGCTATAAACTGAATTTAGTGTCGAAACATTGTTATATTTTTAGTGAATATTGAATAGCCATCTACCACAGCGCTATTAAAAGTTAACGACTTGAACATTATCAAATAGTTATTGTCGAGGGTAAATCGCTCATTAATCGTTTCATAAATATTTATGTTTCTATCATGATATCACGTCGTTGTCACAAATATACGGGTAGATTTTAAACAGAAAGAACAAATGATTAAATATATATATATATATTTAAATAAAAAAAGTAGATTAAATTATAGCTACAAATGTTTCGAAATATCAATGTATTGCAACGTGGAAAGTCGTGCATGTGCACGAATAGATACGTAAAATTTATAACGCATCCACCGGTATGCGCCGGTGGCCTCATATTTTGAGCCGCACAATACGGATGGCATGAGTTTTAATATTTTATTGCCCGCTATGGATATCCCATATCTGAAATATGAACCAGAAATAGGGAATGAAGTTTATTTATAAGTTTAACGTAAATGCAATCGTTGTCAAAATGAAAATCGTATTGTATAATATTTTAGTATTTTTTGCACTTTAGATTTTTCACTTGAAAGAGATAACAAACAAACTTGAAAGAGATAAATATTGTAAGTTTAGAATTATAGCGGAGTATATTGTATTGCTAAAAATTTCGTAAGAACACATTATATTACACATAATATCAGGCTCGCGCTCGCGTAACAGCCGCTCATGAATAAGGATCACGAATTGATCCCGAAACCAGTCAAGATTTCTAGATTTAATAACACGTAAGTTAATGCAGTAGTAATTACATTAAAGTATATTGTATGCTTACGGCTCTATTCCTAGGTGGGATAGTCAGGGACTCAGGACATTTTGAATTTTTTTTAATAGTTAAAAGTGAAACTGTAACAACAAAACAATTACAATTGAGAATACTTAACACTGTACAATTCTAGATGATGATAAAGTCAGCTCAGTTGATCCTTCGTGACGAGTATACAAGGAATTAATTGCGATGGTTTTTGGAGGAGACAGGGGTATATTGCTATCAGTGTGTTCACTATTAGCCCCTGTTACTAATAAATAAACAAAAAAATTAATAATTATTTATATAAATATTAATATTAACATATTTACCCTCTAGAATCCATGTGACGACATCCGTCACCGGCGCATATGGTCGAAGAGCAAGTGGTGCGGCACGTTGCCCAAGGTGCTGGTGATCGGTCCGCAGAAGACGGGCAGCACGGCCCTCTACACGTTCCTCGCTATGCACCCAGCGCTATCACCCAACCTGCCCAGCCCCACCACATACGAGGAATTGCAATTCTTCAACAACAACAACTATTTGAAAGGATTAGATTGGTAAGTGATTTATTTTTTAATACTGTTTGCCCATAAAATGTGTACTTTATGACAAATGTAAATAAGGGAATGGCTTATCTGCTAAATATTATTCTAATTCGTTCAAGCAACTTATCATAGTTACCTAAATAACATATATACAAACATCTTTACAAACTTTCACTTTTGTAACGTTAATAATTAATTTTGTAAATAATTTACAATTAAAACTTATTGCCTGCGCAGTAGTAAGCTTTGATTTATATTAGCAGGTTTATTTTTTAAAACTCTTTTTATTGATAGACACCTAATCATTAATTTTTATATACTTAATCATTCCTACGAAACTCGTTATATTGTATATAAGAAGTGCATATACCATATCAAAAACATTTAATTGAATAGTATAAAACCTTTTTTGTAAAACGACGGAATTACTTTGATGAAAAATCTATTTGAGTAGCATTGCCATTTCACTGTAGTCCCACCTAAATTCTGCCTGCACTGATTTATTCAGCCCCGTAAATTCGAAACGTTCATTTATATGTATGTTGACTGAAAGTATTAATTTCCTACGCCACAAAAATCAATGCCGTGCCATATTGTCGTATTTTATTAACCCGTTTACGGGTTACGTCGAGTTGGGAACTAAAAATAACTTTGTTGCGGTGCAATTTGTAAGGTTAAGTTTATACCTGCCGCGATTGGATTCGGCACCGATAGACAGTAGTAAAACATCGGCGCTATTCAAAGGTACAATCTGCCTCCAATCAGATGTCTTGTGCACGGTCCAATTTCACGGTTTTTGATCCCTTTGATACACAGTTCCTATATTCTATTTACGATGGCACGACAAGGGGAAATCACTTGATCCTGTATACATGGAAATATTGTTCGCACTTTTGAATAAATATTCATACATATGTATATATACTCAATTTCGTATTATTAAGAACATATTGATAACATGAAAATCAAACGATTGTGAAACGACCAATTTCGGACATAGTAATTGTCCTCAGTCACTATGTACTATTTGGGCGTGGGGTGTCTGCATCCCCTAAAATCTCCATGTCCTAAAACACGACTAAGGGAGGGCGAAAAATGGGCAGCAGTGTCCTTCTTAAAACAGTTCTCTAAAGCCTAACTGCGGTCGCCAATACGCCTGCCAAGGGTGGCAACTACTAGCAAAACCCACCAAGGATAGGCTTATATTCAATAGTGGGGAGTTAACAGGTGATATGATGTTGATAACTATGTACCAACTCGATCGTTCGATGGGTATAGTAACAGTCATATTTTTAAAATTCAATATTTTACTATAATATTGAATGTTATGATCTGTAAATATTATTTAGTAAATACTAGTAACACTAGAATGACTACAAACATTGTATGGTATATTAAGTCGCTTCAAACCTGAATAAATGAATGTACTTTTTAAAACCTACTATTATATGTAATAAGATGTTAAAGTACATAGATACAATCATTAGATAGCTAGATACTCTTTATTGTTTCCTCCTAAAGATTACAATAGTAAACTTATTATAAATATAAACAATTACAAGAAATAATCACATTGAGAAAACAATGGGCGACCTTATCGCTAAAAGCGATCTCTTCCAGGCAATCTTTGGATCCCTTTATTATATACCAATATATTATTAAGTACACTTAGTTTCAATGTATGAAACCCCATTGTATGCATAGTGAAAGTCGTTTATATAAATATACCTACATCATAGTCGCGTGGCGTGTTCCGCGGCCCAATCATAACTTATGCAATACGTATACGCACACCCCATGTCACACATCAATCAACCGGTACATTTTCGATTCGATTTTTTGCTACAGATGTTTTTTCAGAACATAGAATTGCGTCCGTTGTATATTGTGTCATGCTACTGTTAATCCTGGCTACTGGTACAGAAGATAATAAAAATGTTTTTTCGGACTGTCCATTATGTATTACTGAACTAGGTACAACACCTAGTTCGGAAATCTATGTCACCGGTTATTTCATTAAAGTTATTTTGTTTAATTCGATTACTATTATTATGTGTGTAATTGGCAACACTCGAAGATTGACCACTTTTTGACTGATTGTAAAATTTCCGATACCGGCGGGTATGCTTGAAACGAGCTATCACAGTGAATGACGCTAGAGATGTGTAAGCAATAATATAGACCTTTCTGCCTATCCCTTAAGTTTGACGCGAAAAATATAAAAAATAATTAAAACAACAAAATAATGTATGATGGAATTATTCTGCTTTATCTGGGCCACAAAAAAGTCAACGATGACATATGTGTATATAATATTACACGAATAGCTGTCTACAATCATTTTAATGTTTTAAAAAATCTAATACGGATTATATGGAGTTCGGAAAGCTATTTAGATGGATGCAATAGTAATATTATCAATCACTCCACATTGACGCCACATTAGTTTCAACATTGCACCCACGCAAAGCCGTGGCAGGTCGCTAATAAGAAGTAGAATCCGATTTACTTCTGAACTCTCTATCTGTTAAAACGATCTGTAATTTATTAGACTAAATAGTGAGCACCATACACATATGTATGTAATTTAAATTCAATTTTTTCTATTCTACATGAAATATAATAAAATTTCAGCCGACTTTGAAAAATAAGGAGGTTTTCAATACGGTTGTATGTTTTTTTTTAATGTTTGTTAGCTCATAACTCCGTCAGTTCTAAACCCATTTGGAAAATTCTTTTTTATTTAAAACGATATATTATACTTACAGATTGATCCCATAGAAATTTTATCAAAATTCGTTCAGTGGTTTAGTTTATATATCATAATAACTGGTTTTGTCACAGTTAAAGTCGGTTATTTGTGTGGGAAAATCTTTAATTATTAAAAATGACACAGTCAAGATTTAAATATCAGTAAATGCAAATACATAAAATCATTATAATTTTTTTCATCCCGTAACATGTTTCTTTAAATATTATATTTACATTTACATAAGCACATGATCTAATTACATAATTTGTTACGTCAGGTACTTGAATTTTTTTCCACCGAGTTTGGGAAACAACACACAAATGACATTCGAGAAATCAGCTACATACTTCGACGGTGAGCTGGTCCCACGGCGAGCGCACGCACTGCTGCCCAACGCTAAAGTCATTGTCATCCTGATATCGCCTTCTAAAAGGTAAATAAATTCAATTTTTTCCTACTATTTTACAATATTTTTTTTTAACATACACAACGTTGGTTCTGTAACAGTTTAACGAAGACTTAACAACCAATGGTCCTGGGTTCTATTCCCGCTAATACAAACATTTGTATTCATCAGTGTCTGTTTAGATTGATCTAAGTGTTTTTTGTATATAATATGTATAAAAAAATTTATGTAGTTACAAAAAACAATAAGGATAGCAGTCTTGTTTCCTGCTTACCGTTAGATGAAAATAAATATGCCCCACATTTAGTCGAGTTGATTATAATTTGAATTTAACGTGACAGAAGTGGAACCGACTACCATCTCTCTATAATATTTGGTACTTGTCAAAGAAAACGATAAATAATTACCATACACGTGTGTTATCTATAGATACGTATATGAAGAGTTGTTTAAATCCATATATCTCGTAAGATACTACGCCCAGCCAGCTTTTCATTGTTGATTTTCAAACAATAATGAGATACGCCTCGAATGTACTATATTGCGTACAGAAATTACAACTTTATACAGTTGTTGAACAAAGGAACGAGTCAACAAAGACATTTCACTCGTTTTATGTCAATAATTGAACAGTGAGGCGTTATACAGGTTCGCGCGTGTGGCAAAGAGCTTCTTAAAGCCCCCTGGCCACTGATGTGTAAATTTGTATATTCTAGTACATACATCTGTGTATACATAGGGACGTATCGACAAGTTGCTTGTCATTAAAGCGTATAACGCCCGAGTTTGCTCTGCAGGAAGTTGGATCTACGGTGCTACTGTAATATTTGTTCGTTGTAGTTTATTTTCATTTTATGTTGTATAATATGTGACTTGTTACTTAATGAAAGCTGAAATCCTATGGCAGTGTTCATGAAACTAAATATACCAGAGAGAGACTTTGTACAAAAGTCGTTTGCTTGGGCACCTCTGTCCCATTCGTGTTTCTACCGTAAAGCAGTTATGGCATATGGCAATGAATTTACAGGGTACAGAGGAATAACACCTAAGTTCTCAAGGATGGCAACGCATGGGGGGTATCATGAGTGAAACAGTATACTCTGTTATGCAGTATGCTCCTCATGTCTATAGACAACGATTCCCACATTTCATCAGGTGGACCGTCAACTTGTTCGCCATTCTAAGTAGCATAAAAAATCATTTTTCAGGTAGTATTAATCACACTAGATAGTAAGCATGGACCAATCCGATATTGGCTTCCTCCAGGCATTAATCGCAGAGAAGAGGTCATATATCATATCGGTCGGATATCTATTTCTAAATATGTTAAAAGTCTGTTATCTAATATTATTTTTTAACTCATTGACTGCCTTGTCAGTCACGGGTGACTAACACTGGAAAACTCCAATGGGGCTACGCGACGCGTAATTTTTTTTTTGTTGTCACTTTGTCAGTCACATGTGACTGGCACATAAAAATCCTCAAAATTGCCACAAAAATGCATCAAAGTAAATTAAATAATCATATCTCTACATAATTTTGGGTTTGCTGGAAGAAAACTCTATCAGAGTTAAGCTCGCCTTTGTACTTTTGATTACCTCTGTCTCATTCTTATAACTAGTGTGTACAATAAAGAATTAAATAAATTAAATAATTTATTAAATATAACTTAAAAACAAAGATTTTTTATGAAAAAACTTGTTGGCGGAGAATGTGTTAAATAACAGACTTTTACTATATTCGTATTCGTTATTGGACCAGTATATAGATAATATAACTAAAATATATAGATATTGCTGTATATTAACCATTCCTTATAGGTAGGGGTAATATCAAAATAATTTCTAAACTTTGCATACAAAGAATTTTGAGTACTACTTGTCTATATAATAAATAATTTAGAATTGAACTTATGACTTCATTTACTCGAAACGATATAATTATTTGCTCACTGTCACACAATATCTTCCAATGTTTTACATCCTTATTTTTTTTTTTTATACTTTCGTATAAATTACTTTGGTGATTAATTTAAGCTTCAATCGCGTACCTACTACCTATCGTTTTTGTTATAATAAAATACAAAGACCTTTTAGCTCAATAAATCACTATCCGAAATAAATTTCCGTTGAAGGGACTATTCCTGAAATAGTGTTAGGACAAGTGGCGGAAAATTACAACCCTATATAGGGTTTATTAAGTTGTGTAAAATTCCATTTAAGTGCTAAAATTTTTCTTTATCTATCTTTTATCACTTATATTTATGTTTTATAAAATTATTAGTTGTACTTTTCAGTATATAGTAAATATTTAATTAGAAATTGAGTCACCCATCGATATAAAAATGATAAGGTGAACCAAGTTAATGCAGTTTCTATCCCAATACTAAATTCACAGTCGATAAATGTCAAACAAAACTATTCTGGAGGAAAAAGTATTGTTACAAATGAGGTCTAACAGCCCCTTTACTAGAAATATGCTTTTTCAGGTCGACCTCCACGCGGTTTACCCTAGAAATCATTATGGTTAATTGTGGTTTTGATTCGTCCTCACCCATCATCTGTGGTGTGTGTGTGTGTGGTGCAAATGGAATGGTATCAGCAGGTTGATACCATTCTATTTTCACCCTTTAAAAAAATCATTTGTTGCAAGTATATATAATAAAGCGCATATATTGTGTAGTCTTTCATATACGAGAAATATCGTATTTAGTTGTTTCACATTCCTCAGTGATATTAAAAAGCTTAGAATTAATTTATCTAAACCCAATATCGAGTTCAAAAAACGTGTAACGCATCTTTTGCTTAATTTGACCATTAACTAAATTTAGGACGTAAAAGTTCGTAACATATTCGAAACACTAAGCATTTAATGAGATTTTAAATACTATTAAAAAAAAAACTTAAAAAAATACTTGCAGTTAAACACAGTGTAACGTTTTTAAGCTTTTAGTTTTTATTTGGCTCTATAGTACCTAGACATGGCCTCACAAATGAGCTTTATAGTTCCTAATTGCACCAGTAACGGCTTTTTAACAGTTGAATTATTTTAATGATTTAACGAATAAAATTAGATTATTGCAGAACATTTTTATCCTGACTTTTGTAGACTATTTATTCTCGCTATTTTTATTTCCTGGAAAAGTGACCAGTCAAAATCGTATCATAATTATCGGTGTAAAAATGCAATCCTTTTCATCCCCGGGATGTATTAAGTGGCGAGTACGAACGTGCACAATACAACAGAGCAATTGAAGGGAAATTCAAAATAAAACGCAAAACGTAGTCGCCTGACCACCCTGTGGTAGTGAAATGCTTATCTTCTTATTGGAAAAAACGAGTGCCCAGTAGTGGCATACTCGTATGTTGTGTTGATGATGATTTGTAGATTACGTGGCTGGATTTCTGATTGATTGATGATGAAAGTGAGTTTATTTGTTACCTTATAGCACCTTAATGACTTAACTAATCATTATGAAATTTGGTATACACGCTCTATATGGGATGGAGAATGATGTAGGCTTCATTTTATCATAATATAATCTATTTTATTATAATATAATCTTTATTGTTGTAAAATATTTTATAATTTTAACTTTATTTATATAATTTATATATTAAATTATGTATATATATATATATATATATATATATATATATATATATATATATATATATGTTATATATATATATATATATATATATAATTATTTATAATATATAATAGTTAAGAATATATTATGAATTGTGGATACCATACCCAAGATATTTATTTCCTTTTTTAATTTGCACAATTCCTTTTTATACCTAATCAACCTCTACCGGTTATATAAAAAATATATATGAACGCTTTATTATTGTATCTAGGCTACATTCTATATAATAAAACAAAATGAGTGCCACTATACACACCACTGCCATAAAGCCTAAAGAGAATTTATTTTTATTGTCGTCAGGGCATACTCGTGGTACCAACACATCCGCTCGCATGGCGACCCGGTGGCCAATAACTATACCTTCCACACTGTCATCACTGCCAACGACTCCGCACCTAAACCGCTCAAGGACTTAAGGTAAGTAACTCTAATTGCATTTAGTTTTTTTTTTTTAATTGCATACAATTTTGACAGAAGAATCTCTTATGAAAATTATTATAAATATTCACTTTTTAATATATAATCTTCATAGAAATCTGCATATTTTGCTCTTAATTGCTTACCATCAGAAAGATTGTATGCTTGCTTATGATCTTTCTTAAATTGTAAAGATATTACCGACTCGCCCCAGCTTCAGATAGATCTAAATTATATATACATACTTCCGAAAAAAATATTTAAATAACAATGAAATTCGTATCAAAATCCGTTGTATGATTTAAAAATAATAAAGCGGAGAAACAGACAGGCGGGGACAGCGGTTTTGTTTTGTAGGTACTATTAGAGATATCAAGTTACAAAAAAGTCCAAATTGCCGATCGCAATTTCTGTGTTTATAAACTTAACGCTGCGCCTCGACCGAGTATAAATAATAATGTCATTTAAAAAGAGTAGTTTCATTTTCTGTGGTTAATTAAGTAAGACGTGGTTGGCTGTTGCGGTAGGTAATATCTTAATGTCGCTATGACATCCAAGAATTACACAATATGAAAAAATACGGAAAGCTGACTTGAAGGAAAAAGCAATTTAAAAAATATCCCCCGTAGTAACCAACGAGCGCGTTTACGAGTACCTAAAAAGAAATTGATTCTGTTCTTGAAGGGGCACCATAAATTTGTAATAAGGTAAGTATACAGCGCCCCGTCTGGACTCACTCGTTGAATTATTACAATTATATATATGTACTTACTGTATATAATCACAGTTAAAATAATGTTTAAATAATATATGTATTTCTGCGAAGAAGCCATGATTATTGCAGGACTTCTGTTTCAATATTAGTCACTATATACAGTAATATATAAACTAGATATTTATGCTCTTTATATATAGGTTTTCATAGCATATTTTAACTATCTGAAAATTTTGAAACCGGTACCTACTACAATTTCTTGGTAAGACGTCATAAATTAGATAAGCTTATGTCGTACTGACTTTTTCTTGTATTTGTTCGCAGAATCCGTTTGGTATTCATTCTTAGTGCTTATTTTCGTTATTTAAGGTGTAAGGTGCAAATTTTCATATTTCTCTTACGTGTTCACATACGTAAATCAAACACGATTGTTTTTTACGTTATTTCTTTAATCTCATTATGTTCACAATTGAGATAATAAAATATCATATGACATTTTCCCTAATTATAGAAACAAAAAAAAAATATCGCTGGAAGTATTTATTAATAAAGGGAGTCTGTGAAGATTGTTCTCTAATAAACATCGTTGTCTTTTATATTATATTACTATTAATTGATAGCACGAAATAATAATTAGATTTTTACAAATAAATAATACACACTGTCAAGAAACATGCCTATCGAAGTCTCATAAGTTAGATAAGTAAGGCTCTTCTATTTTCTGTTAATTTTTTCCAACATTTTCTTAATATAAATATTTTGTTAAAAAAAGTCTTTAAGAAAAGCGATTTATTTTTACAAGTACTATTATAGAAAATTAACTAGAAGCATTTTTTCTTTAAATCTGTATGTTTTTAAGTGATTTCAAAAAGAGTACCTTTTTTTTCATGTGTTATGCGATGTTTTCACAAATGCTGAATCGATTTTGATAATAATGTTTACCGTCGATATGGTCATATTAATTTTATCACGATTGAAATCATTTAAAGTGAAGTCTACTGCTTGAGACGAATTATTAGTCAAATGTTTAAAATAATTAGTGAATGATTATAAATCAGAATAAAAAGTAATGTCACTTATTGTTTCTTGCTATCCTCATCTCACATCGCGACGTATCTACATATATTAGAGTGGTAATACTTCTTTGCCATTTAACAAAATCGCCGACTTTGCCTTATTCCAAAGGTGAAGTCGGCGATTTATTCCAATCTCACTATATCAATGTGTTACCTAGAAATCGCTGCCTGAACCCCGGCAAGTACAGTCACTACTTGGAGCGATGGTTGGCGGAGTTCAGCAGCCACCAGCTGCATATCATCGACGGCTCCCTCCTCCGGTCGGAGCCCGCCGCGGTCATGAACACACTGCAGAAATTCCTTAAAATACCACACATAGACTACAATAAATTGCTCAAGTGAGTATTTTTGTTTTTAATGATATTTTTTTGTACATGGAGTAATAACGTCCTCTACCACTTCATTACCTATTCCCTTTCGCACCACTAAGAAGGATAAATAATAAAGATAATAAAGGGTAAGTATGAAGTCACAGCATGACGTATTCACCGGGAATTAAACCACGATGTCATTTAAAATTGCGTGGAGATACATAACTTAATTTTGTATTATCGACCCATGAAAGTCTACTAGTACGTAATATTACACGTTCAATCAACTAAATTCGGTAGTTTTCCCCCAATTTTAGGTACAAATTTGTATAAGGGTAAAAATTAGGAAATAGTATTATTTTTAGAGAAAAATATTAAATTTGGGGAGAATTAAAAAATCACATTTGACAACGCTGTCCTCTGTAAAACTCGATTGGATATCCTAATCCAATTTTATTATAATTTTTTTTAATCCTCTTGAGTCAACTTTGTTTGCCTCTAAATTAGCCCAACCGAGGATCGAATTCTGAACCTCATTTAAATAAAGCCTCGTACAGTGAGTGACTGTGTCACGGAAGTCGTTTTGTTGGATAATAAGCACTTGGCACGATTTAACTAATTCAGGAGATTACTTCGACTTTGTTCGCAAACCACGGGTGACTCAATTGACATTGTAAAAATAAAAGTTGAGTCATATCAGAACCAATTCATACAATTTCATACAATTAGTATGAAATTTGCTTGTTGACACAAGTCCGCAAAGTGCAGGTTAATTTTAAAGTCTGATGGATCGCTCAGCTTGCCTTGTAAACGCCGATAATCTAAAATCAATAATTTGAATTATGGGGAACCATTGCAGCTTAACTCTAGCATTATTTATACTAAAGCTTTATCGATGATTTGTAGTATTTAATGCATTAGATCCCGCTAATACCCTGAGGTAACCATAACCTGTGACTTTACCTGCGTGTAATAAACTAAAAATTATCCCATATTTTAAACTAGGAAATTTTCCATATGTACTATAAAAAATGTAAATCCGTTCAACCGATAATTCTCGATTGAATAACATCAAAAAAAATTTACAACCTTTTTTCATTTTAAATTAAGTACGATTTTAAAGTGTGTAAATAAAATTTGTTTGGTACTCAAAGTTTATTTGTAGTAAGTTCACGTGTATATCTATTGTATATTTCTTTTATGTATCGTATTTCTCTCTATGTGATTGTAACTAAAGGTAGAGCCACGGGTTATAGCCATAATCATATAAGGTATATTTTTTATGCAATTTATAATGGCAAATAAACTGACGGCCCATTTAATGGAAAGTGGTAATCGTCTATAGACATGAACCATAGACAATCCTAAGATAAAAAATATTTTATATGTTTGAATTGACATTAGAATATAGAACTGCATTATCAAAAATTACTTTCAATTGAAACACGGGCAATGTAGCGTCACATTGTGGGCATACTTTATTTCAATGTATTCTGACAATTTTGATTATTGTTGTTGCCACTGATAAATTGTTGGAATTCGCTTCGCAATGCATGAATGAATGTTATAAATGTGAATGTGAATTTATATATTACTTTTTGGTTTTCAATAACCGTTATTCGTCAGTTAGTTACTAAGTTATTGACATAGAAAAAGTTCTTTTATCGTGGTTGATTAAAACTAAAACTTTATAATTGAAGTAAGAAAATGCTCAGTATCTAAGTAATTTTATTCTACTGTGCTGTATTGTAAATCTATTGTAAAGGTGTTTAGGTATTTGAATGTTACTTAACAAGACTTTTACGATTAAATGAATTTTAATGAAATAGATTATTTATATTAGTATATAGACAGACAATATTGTAATATTATGGACTAGCGATCAACCCCGACTCTGCACGGGTAGATAATTAAAAAAAAAAATTAGTTCTCATATTAGCTTTGTCAAGTATAAATAATGCACTAATGTAACCCAAGATATCAAACCTTGGATTACATTATTGCTACTTTCGTATGGATCAATTTTTTTAAATAATATATAGCCTATGTTACTTGCTGATAATATAGCTTTCTATCAGTGAAATAATTTTAAAATCGGTTGAATTTTTTTTATTCTTATCCAGTATAAACAAACAAACAAAATCAAATCTATCTTGTTTATAATATTAGTATAGATTAACACGTGATTTTTATTCTAATTTATTCAGGTAAAACCCTAGGTTATAGAGTTGAGAATAAAGCAAATCTCATTAACATTGGCATGACTCATTACCACTGACATATTGAGCGTTAATTTCACGTCTATTCTGTTGGAATAATTGAAATCACGTTACAATGATGATGATCGTTGTACTATATATTTATTACTATGTAATATGTAAACACTTTTGTACCTTGCCGTGTTAACTATTTATTCTTATAATTGATTTTAAATATCGTAAAATCAACTGCGACCGTGTACTGTTACACAATGTACTTACTTGTATTTTTTACCAGACGGAGACTTTGTACAAAAATCGTTTGCTTGGATACCTCTGTCCCATTCTTGTTTCTACTGTGAAGCAGTTATGTTTACATGGCTATGTTTCGGTTTGAAGGATGGGATATGGCAGTGAATTTACATTTGGATACAGAGAAATAACACCTTAGCCCTCTGGAATGGCAACGCATAGGAGTATCATGAGCGAAACAGTATACTCTGTTGTATCCATGGTATTATTGCTCATGTCTATAGGCGACGGTTATCACTCAGCCTTCAACCGTCAGCTTGTTTGTCATAAATTGCATAAAAAAATGTTACATAATGTAATAAATATTACAATACTTTCAAGTAGTTATGAGTGTAAAAGCGGGTTTAGACTAAACGAACGTTCTTTTGTTCGTTGTATTCACAGATGATTTTATATATTATTCTCTTCATTTAAACTTCCTTTTGTGTTCTTGATCCTATTTTTTTTTTTGTTTCTTTTAACCTAAATATTTCTTTACTTTTCACGCGATTACGATAAATATAATATTATAAGAAATTTTACAAAGTATTAAGTGTTTACATGTTTTTTCTATTAACTGTACATACAAATATACAAACGAGAGATATCCTCCACAGGTTCGACCCGAAGAAAGGTTTCTTCTGCCAAGCAGTGAGTAACGAGAAAACCAAATGCCTTGGCAAGTCTAAGGGACGCGTATACCCACCAATGAGCGAACTGTCTGCCAAGTTCTTGAAGAAGTACTATACTCCCCACAACACAGCTCTATCAAAAATATTAGTGAGACTAGGTCGACCCGTGCCACAGTGGCTTAAAGACGAGCTCTCATCTAATGGATAGCATATCTTACAACCTTACAGGTTGGAACAAATCAAGAAAACGCACAGACTTATCAAAGTCTGTATTGTCACCATTCCTTGACAGGGTCGTCGAATGGTGGCAAAATGTAAGTTAAACTCTGGGCGTAGATCGTGTTACGCATTGTTGTTTTTCAAAGTGTTTCGATGTGAGAGTATCTTTGTTGAAAAATGTCTTTGTCTATCGATTCTTGTAATATAATGTTTAAAGAGTGATATTATAAATGACTTAATGTTCTTGCTCTGTTTGTTCGAGACGATGAAAGATAATTATCATTATAGTTTTAAATATTACTGTCGTATATATGTAGAGAATGGCTCTGCGTTCCCTGCGAAGCGGTTAGTTAAACTTTGCTTGCCTGAACCATGTTGTTTCTTAGCCATATTACGGAGGAAGTGTCCGGCAGCTTTTGTTATTTATCTGTCGGATTAGGTGCTATTTGTTAGTAGTATTGCAACTTTGATCACGTCTCTTAATATTATGAATATGTTTTATAATTTACTTTATATAGAATATTTTGTTAATATAATTAGCAATTATTTAAACATACGTGACTATTTATTTCAATGCCATATCATTATTTGTTTACATAATCAATGGACGATGGTATTCCCATTCAATGCTATTACCGGCTAGGTTCGAGCTTATTCTAGTTCATTTTAATTACAATGTACGTACCTGGTGCAATTTTTAAATATATAGTCAATTTATTTGGTTTATGTCGAATATTTAGTATTAAATATTGTTTTATAAACGTCTATGTCTGTCTGTGCCATACATGCAGTTCAAGCTAACGGCACTAACGCAATAATGATTTGTGTGTACTTACATCACTGGAAATGCAAACTTGACAATAGAACAAGGAGCTAGTCTACTTAGTTTAGTTTCGTCATTACATTATTATTTGTCGACCACGACACGACAGTCATCAAATCAATATTCTGTTGTAATGTTTACATTTATACGAAAACATCTGTCATCACTAATAATCAATAACAGTTTTGTTACCGTTTTAGTAGTAAGAATGTCTAATATACATATTGAAAATGTGGCGTTATATTTTAAATAAAAATAATATCAATTGTGACATAATAATGAATGAATCATAAAATGTATTTGGTATATATTTTGATATGAATGAATTTATTGGCGAGGTCACTCGGTAGGAGATGCGATTTGTAAATCAAATCGTAATACACATTATTTTCTGTTGTAATAGATGTCGGTACTTAAAACTTGTACAGCATTATTTTCTCCTGAATATAGTACAGTACAGAAAAATATATGAAATTTATATTTTAATTATATAGATTAATGTTTTAATGGTACGTATTTAATATCAAACATTCAGTTGTAAATGTATTATCTATTAAATATATATATTATAATATTTTTTTTTTGTAAATTTCACCTTCGTGTTACAACTTGTTTACGGAGACGCGCAGCTAGGCGTAGAATTCGGATAGGACAATTGAACAATTTGGATCTTTGTGCGTAGGTATTTAAGCTGATTTTTCGTTTGTAAGATACTCTTTAATGTGGAGAGGTCTGTAGACGGTCATACTGCTTGACCGAATCACATATATTTTGGTGCTTATTTGGAGAGACGGAACTGAAGTAAACGCTTCATCTTACAAGTGGCAAGAAATGCGTGCTTAATTAATCCGCTTAACTGTCTACATAGCCCATAGCGTGTGTGGATCATCCTACATAAACAATTGATCAGACATAATCTGAGAACCTACTCAGAAATAACAAATCCGAAGATTCAACTGCATTACTAAGTAAAACTCAATGTTTCGGTCCAATCAAACCTGTTTGTGAATAGAAGATATGTACCTTATTTACAATAAATTAAGCTTAAAATATAATTGCACGTTTGCACGTAATTGAAAATTTGTACTGACCGATAGAATCCAATATACTTCCTAGTAGAAAACCAAGTACGATATTTAAAAAAAATATTCGGAGGTTTTTTAATTAGAGAGGATGTGTCCACAATACAGATTTCCACGCTACACGCAGCAGAAAGCTACGCTTCTCTGTAAACGAGGTCTTAGAATTTTCGATGTTCCAATTATTGTCAAGATGTTATGTATCACGTAGAGAAAGGCCTTACAAAGCGAAGAATGAACGTAATTTGGTATTTCATTTCACGAAATTTTATGGTGTGTAATTTGTTTAGCTACCTGAAGGTCATTATTCTGTCGTTGATAGATTATGTTCCTGTGGAACGGTTGTGTTTACTTGGCAATAATAGTTGCTTCCCACTGAAGTTTAACCAAGGGGTAAAGTCCACCAACTCATTAATTTCTATTGGAAACTTGTTGATATTTTATTAATATGTAAAAACATTATTTAACGATACAGCCAATGACTGCTCTTGAAATGTGTTCTTTATAAGAAATTAATACATTACTTATTTTATTAAATGATTTAAAACTAAATTTTCTATTTATTGGTTTTTAAACTATCCTTATCCACGTTATCCCTATAGTTATTGTAGTTGACACACGCACTTTAAGAAGATAAATGTGCTTTACAATATTTGATACAAAGAAATGTGTTGAGAAAAATATTGTTTGCTGCTAGAATTATAAATTATTCCAAATTACCTGCGTTTACGAGGAACATTTTGGAGGTTTGAAGGGTGGGATATGGCAGTGCATTTACAGAATACAGAGGCATAACACCTTAGTCCTCAGGAATAGCAACGCATGAGAGGTATCTTGGGTGAAACATTGTACTCTGTTATGTCAATGGTGTTCATGTCTATAGGTAGCAGAATGTATTTTCTATTACATAGGCCGAATGATAAGCAACCTGAAGCGGCAATGAGCAGGTGATCATGAACAACTGGTAACCGATAGGGATGGAAGGTTCTTGAGTAGCGAACGCAGTGTAGGATGACCTCCCCACTAGATGGAATGACGATCTCAAATGCATTGCAGGAAGTCAGTGGATGCATTTTGCTCAGGACCGTTCCTTATGGCAATCTATGGAAGAGGTCTGTGTTCAGCAGTGGACAGATAATGACTGATAAGAAGATAATGCTGAATTATTTTCTATAACATGAGTAGATTCTTAGTTTTACGTATCACTAATAACTTCTATTTCAACCTGTATAGTCCACTTCGGTGCGCATCGAGTGTGAAACTGTTTACAATTATTGCGCGAATAAACAGTAAGTACTATAAGCTGATTTATTCAGTTATTTGTTGCTTTAAATACAACTGTTTTAAATCTGAATACCGTAAATTATGACAAGATTATGTTTATGATGAGAGCTATCCCAGTTATTGTTAACAAATTTAATAAGCTGACGACGTACCTAATGGAAAGTGATAACCATCAGTTATAGATAAAAATCTCGAAGAACTTAAAATACCGCAATTCAGGCGTATTGTGTAACAACTTTGTCAGACATAAAATGACTATACAAGCAAAGCGATGTGGACTTATTAACACTATATGAAAGTTTGCAAATATCGATTTACTGAACGCATTTTGATTGAAATTTGATACGCTAGGAAAGGAATACTATCGAAGGAAGTCTTTATAAAATTAGTCTACATGCATGTATATCTGTAACCACCTCATGTTTCTACCACCATGAAGCTGTGCATTTAAGTCTAGGAGTCTCCACCATAAGAGGTCCGCACCACATATAGATTCTTGTCACAATTGTTAGATTTGGTTAGAAAAGATAAATGGAAAAATGAAACTTCACGTGTAATTAAATAAACAGTATTGTATATCTCAATAAGTCTATTTTCATCTGATCAATTCTATTTAATTTTAAATACTTGGAAAAATTATTAAAAATTTTATAATAGAAAATTAATTTATAATTTTAAGTTAAATTTTAAAATATAATAATCTATTTATATATAAAATGGGGCTCCTACCATAGATGTAACCTAAGGGCCCACTGGTCTTAAATACGACGTTGTACATCGTAATACTACTTCATTGGCTGTTTTAGTTTGAAGGGTGGTATGATAAAGATACTCGGAGAACTATAGGCGTCTCAATATATTCTATGGCATCCGTGGTGCTATTAACTTTTTTTTTAAGGTGACGGTTAGCACCTTAGATTATAAACTATATAAATTAGCAAAGTAAAAAAGAAAAAAACATAATACCATATACGGTAGAGCGAGATTGAAATGTAGGACATTCACCTTGACAATATAAGCTCGAAGCTGATTTGATGGGGGAATGAAAAATGTTAATTTTGAAGTGTAATCAGGTGGGTAATTAGTTACAGTTAAGTGTATTGTTCCTAGATATAATATAAATTAGAAAAAATATCACAAAATGTACATTTTTCACGTAAAAATGCTATAATCATATATCTTTTTAAATACAATATTATAGAACCATTAGATGTGTGTTAAACAAGTATTGATAGAAAAAAAATATCTAATTTAATCCAAATAAAGTTCTGAATGTCCACGGTTTAAAGTAAAAATTAAAACAAATACGTGAAGTTTTGCTACTTTTAAAACTTCAGTTCCATATGAATCCAAACCTCTCATATACACACATTTACAAAACACGCACGCTAATGTAACTATATTCTTGTCTCGTTTTTGTAATTGCATAGCAGTCTGTCTGTGTAGTATATTACTTATATAGTATTCCAAAAAAAAAAAACAGACGAACCATATTCTAGATTAACATGTAAGAACTTGTAAGTCTTGTAACATGCAGGCAAAGTCGCCAATTACAGCTAGTTTAGTAATAAGCCTCATTTTACCAGGAAAATTGAAACTGTGATATTAAAAAAATTATAATATGGCTTTTACATTTCGGGTCATATTTTCAGTGAGCTCAATGTTCCGGCCGAGTGCAGCTGGAGAGAAATACAATCTAGCCGGGCAGGCTCCGGGCGTCTTGAAAAATGTATTACCTCGCGGCGTATTGTTCGATCCGCCCGCTCCGGGAAATACTTTGCATGCAGCTATAATTTTCGATTTGAATGGGTGCATCCGTAAACAAAGTACGTTGAAAGCCGTAAACAAAATGGGTCGGTACGGAAGTCTCGTGCTCGGTACAGCCAGCTATTTTCTTTTGTTCCTTGTTTTGCACTTTTAGGCTCCCGATAACTTCATAAGAAGAAAATTATTTAGGCAAGTATTGGCTAGCACTAAACCAGTTAAAAACTAAAAAATATATTAGGTAAATTTCAAAGGCCGTAATAAGGACCAATCGATCCTTAATTCGGTTCAGGCTGTTCGCTGCTATAGTATATACCTACTTACTCGTTTTCTATCAGGCCTCTATGTAAAGCGTTACTTCAATTACATCTACCAATTGCTATTATTATTTAGACTACTTACCTAAACAACATCATTGGATTTGCTTTGTCACTTAACGTAGATATTTCAATGCAAAACTAAAAACAATTTATACAGATGAGATTTTTATGACTCGCCTACTGGATGGATACCATCGTCTTACGAAACTTCTGCCTTGAAAATAAAGTGGCTACCATACCTACCTGCCGTTCCAATTTATATAAAGTATCCAAAGGAAACCTATCCTACGTCTGTGAAAAAGCCTCTACAATTAAAATTGAATTCGTATTTACATTTGGAGATAAAGGCAATATGAGAAAACAATAGAAACACTGTCCGTATTGAAAATTCCTCAGCGTATCGCTTGCATACTTAATGGTACTTTTGATAGATAACTAGAATAAAACTTGATAAAACCTACACATAATTTGAATTGCCTAGATCTCTTAGATAATAAAGTATGCCTTGTACCCACCCAAAATCCCAGTGAGCCTTTGAAAGAACAACCTGCGCGCATTAGGTATAGCTTTTATCTTAAAATTACTGACAGTGATGGATGACGGCTGGTGACGTAATTCATTTATCTGCGATTAAGGGTCGGCTGGCTGGTGCTGCTTCGTTCCATAGCGAACTAAAATTGACATGTTAAAATGTTACGCTAATATTTAGAAGAATCCGTAACAATCTTTTTGATTTCTTACATCATACATTTTGTCAATGTCTTACGTTAGCAAAATGTATGATGTTAAGAAAGTTTAACAAAAAAACAATAAAGTTAATTCAGTAATCGATATAACCTGAAACTACCTTTCAGCTTATGCTGAAAGCTGATGTGGCAATTCTGGTTGTGGAACTAACAACAGTGGTAACCTAGAATAGGATTGCAGTATTCCTATAATACACTTGCTATATGCTCTTATTGTGAATGCAAGCGAATAGGCAGTGAGGCGAGGTGAATGATGAGGAGTATGGGTATGATATGTTTTTTATGGCACAAGGAGCAAACTTATCTGATGGCATGTACTAGCGTCGCCCATAAGAACCCAAAACACCAGAAAAATGACAAATATGCTCTTTTCTTGAAAGTTTCGATACATAACTGTACTTACTCGTAAAACAAATATATAATGTATATGCGAAATAACGAAAGTAAGTTTGTTAGTTCCCTTTTATTATTTATGTGTTTATAACATTTTCTGAAGTCGTAACGACTCAATATTAATTGATCGTGTGGTATAAGAAGAACGTAAACTATTGTTGTGTTTCGATCCATCAAAAATATATCCAGGTCGCACTAACGGAGTCATGGGTACAGGTATAGTATGATGAACATAATATAAAGAGTATCTTATATCTTTATAACATATTATTATCTTTTAAAGATATTGTATTTATATATGTGTAAATAAAAATAAAATAAAATATGTATATATAAAATTAAATATAATCCGCTATATATATACACAAATTTTGTATAATACTTTTTTGTTTGCAAATTGTCACAGTATTGTACACCGCTTCACTATTGATGCTCCTTTCCATTTTGAGTTTTCTGGTAGTTATACATTTCCTTTCCAATATCATATATCTGCATGTTTATTAGCGTGTACAATAAAGTATAAATAAATAAATGAAATGTAAATTTTCTGTGTAGGTGTATAAATTAATTTTTACTTATAAATTATTATTAATGTGAAAGTAAGTTTGTCTTGGCACCTTAACAGCTCAACCAAACATCATGAAAATTAGATAATTAAGGGACTACTCACATTTATTCAGCTCTATATAGCTTTTGTCCATAGAAAACAACGATTTTGTATGGAGATGTATACGCATCCATTCAGCTTCCCGCGTCTATTCTGATAAGAGACTATAAATCTGATAATGCTATAGAGAGCGTTCAGCGCTGTTCCGCCGCGTTCAGCGCTGTTCCACCGCATTCACCGTCGAACGCGGCGAAACAGCTCTTTACAGGGTTGTTTTGCGACTCCTTGTCGACAAGTTGCGACCTGTATAGTTTCTGCATTGATTTGATTTATTATTGCGTAATCATTATGTACGCAACGATTAAAGAGTGCAGACGTATTTTATAGTAATTATAATTATTTTATTTTTACAAAATGCAGCATATTCAACGCCGTACG